TGTTTCAAATAAGTTAGTACCACTACTACTACCACTATCGCTACCTACCACCACTATCACTACCTACCACTACTACCACCACTATCACTACCTACCACCACTATCACTACCTACCACCACTATCACTACCTACCACTACTACCACCACTATCACTACCTACCACCACTATCACTACCTACCACTACTACCACCACTACCTACCAGCTACCAGTATAGTTTTAAGACTTTTAATTTGGTTATTGAATATTTGTGAAAATAAATTGAGACGTGAGGGTGTGTGTGGGGAGGGGTGTGGTGAGGGTGGTGTGGTGAGGGGTAGGGAGGGTGTGTGGTGAGGGTTGGTGGAGGGTGTGGTGGAGGGCGTGTGGTGGAGGGTGTGTGGTGAGGGTGTAGGAGGGTGTGGTGAGGGTGAGGGTGTGGTGAGGGTGCAGTGAGGGGTGTGTGGGTGAGGGGTGTGTGTGGGAGGTGTGGTGGGAGGTGTGGGTGAGGGGTGTAGTGAGGGGTGTGGTGAGGGGTGTAGGAGGTGTGGTGGGAGGGTGCGTGGGTGAGGTGTGGTGGAGGGTGTAGTGTGGTGTGGTAGAGGGGTGTGGGTGAGGGTGTGGTGGTGTGGAGGGTGCGTAGTGAGGGTAGGTGTGGGTGAGGGTGTGGTGAGGTGTAGTGGAGGGTGTGGTGAGGGTGTGTAGTGAGGGTGTGTGGTGGAGGGTGTGGTGAGGGTGTGGTAAGGGTGAAAAGAGGAGAATCAATAAGGGAGAACTAAAGAGTGGAGAACTAGTTAAGGGAGAATTCTGTCTAGTTAAGGAGAACCAGTTAAGGGAGAACCAGTTAAGGAGAACCAGTTAAGGAGAACTAGTTAAGGGAGAACCAGTTAAGGAAGAACCAGTTGGGAGAGCCAGTTAAGGGAGAACCAGTTAAGGGAGAACCAGTTAAGGGTGAACCAGTTAAGGGTGAACCAGTTAAGGGAGAACCAGTTAAGGGTGAACCAGTTAAGGGAGAACCGGTTAAGGGTGAACCAGTTAAGGGAGAACCAGTTAAGGGTGAACCAGTTAAGGGAGAACCAGTTAAGGGAGAACCAGTTAAGGGAGAACCAGTTAAGGGTGAACCAGTTAAGGGAGAACCGGTTAAGGGAGAACCAGTTAAGGGAGAACCAGTTAAGGGTGAACCAGTTAAGGGTGAACTAGTTAAGGGTGAACCAGTTAAGGGAGAACCAGTTAAGGGTGAACCAGTTAAGGGTGAACCAGTTAAGGGAGAACCAGTTAAGGGTGAACCAGTTAAGGGAGAACCGGTTAAGGGTGAACCAGTTAAGGGAGAACCAGTTAAGGGTGAACCAGTTAAGGGAGAACCAGTTAAGGGAGAACCAGTTAAGGGAGAACCAGTTAAGGGTGAACCAGTTAAGGGAGAACCGGTTAAGGGAGAACCAGTTAAGGGAGAACCAGTTAAGGGTGAACCAGTTAAGGGTGAACTAGTTAAGGGTGAACCAGTTAAGGGAGAACCAGTTAAGGGTGAACCAGTTAAGGGTGAACCAGTTAAGGGAGAACCAGTTAAGGGAGAACCGGTTAAGGGTGAACCAGTTAAGGGTGAACCAGTTAAGGGAGAACCGGTTAAGGGAGTCTACCTTTAGAATCTCAGTACGTCACCAAGACAATGGAATATTATCTGCCTAAATACGGATTATGTTGTTATTATATCAGTGTTGTATCTGTCTGTCTGTCTGTCTGTCTGTCTGATTGTCTGTCTTTCTGTCTGTGTCTGTCTGTCTGTCATGGTAGATAAATGGTAAGGTAGGAAGTACCTCACCTGTCAGGAAGAGATAGATAATTAATTGGAGATCTTACCTTGACCATAGTAGATCTCTCTCTCTCTCTCTCTCTCTCTCTCTCTCTCTCTCTCTCTCTCTCTCTCTCTGTCTGTCTGTCTGTCTGTCTGTCTGTCTGTCTGTCTCTCTCTCTCTCTCTCTCTCTCTCTCGGTAACCTTAAGAGCAACACCTGTTAATTTAAAGTCACCTGAAATAACTTACCTTGATTGGATACTAATTTGTTACCTGTTGTAATTGGGTTAGGTTAGGTTGTGGTTAGGTTGTGGTTTGGTTGTGGTTTGGTTGTGGTTGTGGTTTGGTTGTGGTTTGGTTGGGGTTTGGTTGTGGTTAGGTTGGGGTTAGGTTGTGGTTTGGTTGTGGTTGTGGTTTGGTTTGGGTTTGGTTGGGGTTTTTGTGGTTTGGTTGTGGTTGGGTTGTGGTTTGGTTTGTGGTTTAGTTTGGGGTTGGTTTGGTTTTGGTTTTGGTTTGGTTATTGGTTTGGTTGTGGTTGTTGGTTTGGTTGTGGTTTTGGTTTGGGGTTTGGTTGTGGTTTGGTTGTGGTTTGGTTTGGTTGTGGTTGTGGTTTTGGTTATTGGTTTGGTTGTGGTTGTGGTTGTGGTTTGGTTTGGTTGTGTTTGGTTTGGTTGTGGTTGGTTGTGGTTGGCTTGGTTGTGGTTTGGTTGTGGTTGTGGTTTGGTTGTGGTTGTGGTTTTGGTTGTGGTTTGGTTTGTGGTTTTGGTTGTGTTGGGGGTTTGGTTGTGGTTGTGGTTTGGTTGGTTTGGTTGTGGTTGGTTGGGGTTTGGTTGTGGTTTGGTTGTGGTTGGTTTGTTGAGTTTCCCAGTTGTGGTTGTGGTTGGTTGGGTTTTGGTTTGGTTTGGGTTGGGGTTTGGTTTTGTTGTGGTTGGTTGGGGTTTTTGTGTTGGTTTGGGCATGGTTTGGTTGTGGTTTGGTAGTTTGGTGGTTTGGTTGTGGTTGTGGTTGTGGTTGGTTGTGGTTTGGTTGTGGTTGGTTGGGGTTTGTTGTGGTTGTGGTTGTGGTTTGTTGTGGTTGTGGTTTGGTTGTGGTTTGGTTGTGGTTTGGTTGTGGTTGTAGTCATGTAAGCAACAGGTAAAACAATGCTAATGTGGCCTTTATTATGCTGTCATACAGGTGGGGCGGAAATTAAACCCTATTCCCTCCCTTTATTCTCCTCACTCCCCGCCCGCCCGCCCCCCCCGCCCCCCGCCCAGGACCTCATCGTTTAAAACAACATCTTAACTTCTGCCCCGTAGAGAGAGAGAGATCTCTTTTACTGCTCTCTCTCTCTCTCCCTCCCACCCTTCCATGCGGTTAGGTTAGGTTACGTTACGTTAGGTTAGTGTTAGTTGAGTTAGGTTAGGTTAGGTTAGGTTAGGTTAGGTTGGGACGATTCTACCAGTAGATACGTCACATAGATTAGGTTGAGAGGGGCGAGAGGAGGAAAAGAAGAAGAGGAGGAGGAAGAGGAGGAGGAAGAAGAGGAGGAGGAGGAAGAGGAGGAGGAAGAAGAGGAAGAGGAGGAGGAAGAGGAGGAGGAGGAGGAGGAAGAAGAAGAAGAAGAAGAGGAAGAGGAGGAGGAAGAAGACGACATGGAGACACCAGGTGTTCACGTGGTGTAGTAACTCGTCCTCAGGTGTTGATATAACAACATAAGGAGTCTGCAATAGGCCGGTTGACCTGTGCATGGCAGCTCCTGTCGAGAGTTACTACCACTCTCTATCATCCATGAATCTATCTAGCCTCCTTTTGAAACTTTCCAGCGTTCCAGCACTTACTACAAAGTTGCTAAGCTTGTCCCAGTCGTCCACCACCCTATCTAGCCTCCTTTTGAAACTTTCCAGCGTTCCAGCACTTACTACAAAGTTGCTAAGCTTGTTCCACTCGTCCACCACCCTATCTAGCCTCCTTTTAAAACTTTCCAGCGTTCCAGCATTTACTACAAAGTTGCTAAGCTTGTTCCACTCGTCCACCACCCTATCTAGCCTCCTTTGAAACTTTCCAGCGTTCCAGCACTTACTACAAAGTTGCTGTTTGTTCCATCAGTCCACCAATCTTTATCTAGCCTCCTTTTTAAAACCTTTCCAGCGTTCCAGCATTTACTACAAAGTTGCTAAGCTTGTTCCACTCGTCCACCACCCTATCTAGCCTCCTTTTAAAACTTTCCAGCGTTCCAGCACTTACTACAAAGTTGCTAAGCTTGTTCCACTCGTCCACCACCCTATCTAGCCTCCATTTAAAACTTTCCAGCATTCCAGCACTTACTACAAAGTTGCTTAGCTTATTCCATTCGTCCACCACCCTATTTGTGAACCAGTTCCTTCCTATCTCCCTCCTAAACGTCACAAGTGGAGTTCCCCAAGGCTCAGTAATTGGACCATTATTATTTATTATATACATAAACGACATAGATATAGGCATAGACAGCAACATAAGTAAATTTGCTGATGACACTAAATCTGACGAGGACTCCGCAAAACTACAGGAAGATCTAAACAAATTTTTCGAATGGTCTGAAGAATGGCAGATGAAATTCAATGTAAAGTACTCAGTATAGGAGATGTAAACAGGGAAACCAGTTACCAGATGAACAACGATGCCATTGTGGAATCCGACTGCGAGAGAGATTTAGGAATAATGATAAGTAGGAATCTTAAGCCAAGTAAACAATGTGTTTTTGCTCGTAACAAGGCTAATAAAGTGCTTGGGTTCATACAAAGGAGTGTTAGTTACAAGACTAGCGAGGTCATCCTAAAACTGTATCTTGCTCTTGTGAGACCACACCTGGATTACGCACTTCAGTTCTGGTCACCGTATTACAGAATGGATATAGAATCATTGGAAAGAATTCAGAGGAGAATGACAAGACTAATCCAGGGCATTAGGAACCTTGAGTACAGAGACAGGTTAAAGCACCTTAATTTGCACTCCTTCGAGAGACGTAGAGCGAGGGGCGACCTGATAGAAGTGTACGTATAAGTGGAAGTCAGGGCTAAACAAAGGGGACATTACAAAGGTATTCAAACTATCCAACCAGGAGCGAACTCGTAACAATGGTTTTAAATTAGACAAATTTAGATTTAGGCGTGAAATAGGTAAACACCGGTTTGGAAACAGAGTAGTGGATAAATGGAACAAGTTACCAAATATCATCATTAACTCGAATACGCTGAATAGCTTAAAACATAGGTTGGATGCTTATATGAGCAATAGGGGTTGGGTGTAAACGGGGCTGCCCAGTATGGGTCAATAGGCCCGCTGCAGTTTCCTCCATTCTTATGTTCTTATGTTCTTATATCCCCTTTATTGATTCCTTTCACCCACTTAAATACTTCTATCATATCTCCCCGCACTCTTCGTTGTTCTAGGGAATGTAAGTTAAGTTTCTTTAACCTATCCTGATATGGAAGGTTTCTAAGTCCCGGAATCATTTTTGTCATTCTTCGCTGCACCGACTCTAGTGAATTGATATCCATTATATAATAGGGGCACCAGAACTGAACCGCATAATCGAGGTGCGTCCTGACTAGCGCAAGATATAGTTGCAACAAGACCTCTGCACTCTTATTACTTAAACTTCTAGATATAAAACCCAATACTCTGTTTGCCTTATTTCGAACATTAACGCACTGTTTTCTAGGCCGTAGGTCCAGGCTTACAAGTACCCCTAGGTCTCTTTCACAAGTCGACTTCTCTAGGTTGATGTCGTTAAGGCTGTATACATTATAAGTATTTGTTCTTCCAATATTTAGTACACTGCACGTGCTGGTGTTGAATTTCATTTGCCATTTTTCTGACCACTCCTGTTTGATCCTCCTGTAGTTCATTGCATCTACCCTGAATTAATCGCCCTATTTTTGGTTATATCCACAAACTTGCTTATGTCACTGCTGATCCAGTATCTGATCCTTTGTAGATTATTGAACAAGAGTGGGCTAGTGACCTCACGTGGTCATGGGGACAGGTGTGGGGAGTCATTCGTGGTGTGGTAACTCGTCCAGGTGTTTATGAAGGACCTCACGTGGTCATGGGGACACGGTGTGGGGAGGTGTTCACGTGGTGTGGTAACTCGTCCCCGGGTGTTTATATGGAAGGACCTCACGTGGTCATGGGGACATGGTGGGGAGGTGTTCATGTGACTCGTCCGGGTGTTTATATGAAGGACCTCACGTGGTCATGGGGACGGTGTGGGGAGGTGTTCGTGGTGTGGCTCGTCCTCGGATGTTTATATGAAGGACCTCACGTGGTCATGGGGACATGGTGTGGGGAGAGGTGTTCACGTGGTGTGTTAACTCGTTCCAGGTGTTTATTGTGGAAGGACCTCCATGGTCATGAGGGAACAGTGTGGGGAGGTGTTCTGTGGTGTAACTCGTCCTCAGGTGTTTATATGAAGGACCTCACGTGGTCATGAGGACATGGTGTGGGGAGGTGTTCACGTGGTGTGGTTAACTCGTCGGTGTTTATGAAGGACCTCCGCGTGGTCATGGGACACGGTGTGGGGAGGTGTTCACGTGGTGTAGTAACTCGTCTCAGGTGTTTATATGAAGGACCTGCATTGGTCCAGGACACAGTGTGGGGAGGTCACGTGGTGTGGTAACTCGTCCTCAGGTGTTTATATGAAGGACCTCACGTGGTCATGGGGACCTGGTGTGGGGTGGTGTTCACGTGGTGTAATGCTTATCTCCGGTGTTTATATGAAGGACCTCCGTAGTCATGGGGACGCACGGTGTGGGGTGGTGTTCACGTGGTGTGGTAACTCGTCCCGGGTGTTTATATGGGGCTCAGTGGTCATGGGGACACGGTGTGGGGT